GCTTAAAACATAACAAATGGAAAGAAGCCTAAGGGCAAAAAATAAGAATAAGACAGTGCAATAGCAAATAAAAAGGGAGCTCCTCCCCAAGCTAGCACTATATAAACGAAACAAACAAAACAAATGAGGTAAGAAGAGCCACATCTGTCGGGGAAAGTAGGGAGCAACGAATGAAGTCGGTAACTAACAGTACCCTACTACTTTGTTACCTAGTAAGAAAAGAAAGGATGTGGACAAACTCAGGGTTAGAAGAAACGTGTGGGTGTGTGGCTCGTTTGGGGTTAGTATTAATGGATAAGAGGAGTACATAGAAGGGGGAGGGGAGGGGGATAGACGCAAAAGAAAAAAAAAAGTAGAGTGGAGAATAAAAGAGACAAAGGGGGATGATCGACAAAGCTTTGAGGATGAGGAAAACGAAACGAACTGTAAGAACAGAAGAATAAAAAGTGGTCTTTTTCGAGAGAAAAGGAAATGTAAGATATAGGAACACGTAGTGAAAACTATAATAATTGGGGGTCACACATTAAAAGACGAAGGGACCTGAAGAAGGTGGCCAACCCAAGCCTGAGATTCTTAATCTGGAGCCGAGAATTATTCTCGACTATGAGACTGACTTCGAGTACACCTATAGATTAAATTTAAGATATGCTGTGAGCTTTTCTGTACACTAGCTCCACGCATAAGTATGTAAATAAACGTACAGTCAGTGTAATAAGTATCAGTACAGCAACCAATTTTAAATAAAATTAATAAGAAAAGAAATGAGAGGCTAACATTAAAAATTAATTTAAAACTTTAATTTATGCAAATTCTACAGTAAAAATATGTAGGAATGCTGGTTAATTATTTCTTCCCCTAAAATTTATTGATAAAATAAATACATGAAGTTTTATTTTGAATTGGTTGAATACTTATTACACTAACTGTACGAAATCTCAAAAGTTTATGTCAATGAATTATCCTGCAAAGAAATCATGAAAATTGGTTCAAACTCAAAACTGGTAAAAATGAAAGAGCACCCCCTTGAAACGATCGATCTTGAAACGATCACGAGCCAGCGTGTGATCCAACCGGAACAACCTTTTTAGACGGTAACGTGCCACCGTTCGCGCAATCGAATGATCGCGGGAAAATCGAAACTCGAGATTAAAATTCCCGTCGAACGGAATGGCCGTTCATGGTGGAAAGGACGACGGTAAATTCTTCGGCCGCGGTTCGGTCAGAGCCGTAAATCAAGGGTGAATTTCGAAAATTATAGGGCGTGAGGCTGAAAGGTGCCTTTAAGCGGCGCGGGTGGATACGTGCGCCGCGGCGCAAACCGTACGGAGGATAATTACGGACACCTGAAAGTCAAAATGGTTCGAGCACGGATACGTCTAGACGTAACAGCCCTGGGAATGGCCGGCTCGCCAACCCCGTGTTAGGAACCTACCCTTGGAATTACCCTATCAAAAGGTCGTAGCTCTAATTCATTATTCCGTCTCTGACTGCTGCCGAGACTGCGATTTCCAAGATGCCCGTTCGCGTTGTTAAGCTCGTCCCCCATTGACGACACGCGCGGAACTTGTTACCCGCTATACCGAGAAATGGAACAATCGTAAACGTTGACGTCTTCTGTTGTCGCGAGCGCCAACTTGAATTTACGTGCCGTTCTAAGTAGATACCTCGGTCCGAAGTAGGTACTTGGAAGGACCATTCTTTTCTATACTTTTTATTATACTTCTTTGTCTACGCAATTGTTGATTTACGCGGTCGTAAAGAATGTTCTTCCCTGTTGTTTATACAAGCGTTGAAATGTTCTTCTCTAAGGGATGCCCTAAGCGGCTGTAGCGGTGTTTTTTAAAGCTACCCCGAGGTACCCGAGCTAGAGGAGGGCTAGCGGGCCCCTAGCCCCTATACAGGGTGTTAACAAATATGTGGGACATTTTTTTCAGGATCAAGTCTTCGTACAAGTACAAATCGAAAAGTCTGTTACCATTTTGCGATCTGAGGCTTCATTGTTGAGAAATAAGCGATTGAACTTTACAGGTGGACTTCTGTTTAAAATGTTTAAATCCCTGTCAGCTGAACGTGTGGTCGCAAATGGATGCACTCACACGCGAAAAAGACACACCGATGTACACTCATTTGTTTTATTCCTCCGATGCGTCGTTCACGACGTTGCAAGCGACCACACGTTCAGCTGACAGGGATTTAAACATTTTAAACAGCCCGCGTCGGAAGTCCACCTGTAAATTTCAATCGCTTATTTCTCAACAATGAAGCCTCAGATCGCAAAATGGCCAGAGACTTTTCGATTTGTACTGGTATGAAGACTTGATCCTGAAAAAATGTCCCACATATTTTTTAACACCCTGTAGATGAGAAGTAAGAGATACTGCAAACAGTATTAAAACAATGCAGGAGTCATGTACGACGATGATAAGAAGATTGGAAATAAGCTATTGGATATGGGAGTCCGAAATAATGAATACGCTTCATATACAGGGTGTCCCAAAAGTCGAGAAGGAGCCGGAAATGGGGGGTAGCTGAGACGATTCTGAATAACAATTTCCTTTGCAAAAATGTCGGATGGGGCTTCGTTAAGGAGATATTAAGCGAAAACCCCGACCAATCAGAGCGCGCGTAGACCGTTGGAGCGGCCGCGGTAGCGTAGGCTACGCGCTGGCGGCCGCGCTTGCACGCGAACAAGTGACTCGACGTGCATCGAAGCATCGACCTAGCGCGTAGCCTTCGCTACCGCGGCCGCTCGAACAGTCTACGCGCGCTCTGATTGGTCGGGGTTTTCGCTTAATATCTCCTTAACGAAGCCCCATCCGACATTTTTGCAAAGGAAATTGTTATTCAGAATCGTCTCAGCTACCCCCCATTTCCGGCTCCTCCCCGACTTTTGGGACACCCTGTATTAAAAGAAATAGACTTTATTTCACGACGGCAGGAAGGTTCTTTTCATTAAGAGATCTCATGCTCGACTGACTAAACTTCGACACCAGAAGAAAATCAGGGTCCTCTCACATCTCCCGAGTGTTTAGGTTTCACGTGGCCACAGTTCGACTCTTAAAACAAAGTATCGACGGCGATACGTAGAAGTGAAACGCTTCGGAGAACGCCGATTCAATTTTTGACAACGAACAATAAGTTCATTCTTCATGAAGCGTATTGATAATCCAACATAAGGTAGTAATAAGTAAGCAGTAGTGCAATAACTTTGTATAATAAGTTACGCACTTTAAATAAATGAATGAAAAAAACAATTCTCTAAGGAGCGAACAGTAGAGCAGTGCGTAGCGTAGCCGACTACCACGCTATGAGAGCCTGGGTTCAAATCCTGGGCGGTCCGCTCCGGTTTTCCATGGTTGAGTTAGGGCTGACTAACAAAAATATAAGATTTGGAAAAGGCCTAGGGCGAAGAAATAAGGAATAAGATAAGTGCAAATAGCAAATAAAGGGAATGAGAATAGTCAGAATAGCTTCTCAGCTAAGCACTATAAACTCAATAAACACAAACAAAACAACAAAATGTTCTTCTCTCTTGTTTGTACAGGGTGATCCGCTCGTTAGTAGGCACAATAGACAACCACAACAATAACCTAGGCTAAAAAAATAAGGAATAAGATAAGTGCAATAGCAAATAAAGGGAATGAGAATAGTCAGAATAGCTTCTCAGCTAAGCACTATAAACTCAATAAACACAAACAAAACATCAAAATGTTCTTCTCTATTGTTTATACAGGGTGATCCGCTCGTTAGTAGGCACAATAGACAACCACAACAATAAGGCTGAAAAAATAAGGAATAAGATAAGTGCAATAGCAAATAAAGGGAATGAGAATAGTCAGTAGCTCCCCAGTTAAGCACTATAAACTCAACAAACAAAGAAAACAACAAAATGTTCTTCTCTATTGTTTATACAGGGTGATCCACTCGCTAGTAGACACAATGGACAACCGTCATACCGATAATAGTTAACCGTCATTGTAGACTTTATGACGGTGAATCTCGCAACAAAAACGGCTGGGTGAAAATGTGTGTGTCAAGAGACATTTCTTCTCGGTCACCGTCATAAAGTCTACAATGACGGTCTGCTATTGTTGTGGTTGTCCATTGTGCCTACTAGCGAGTGGACCACCCTGTATAAGCGTTTTCAGAAGAAGCTTTAGGAGCTTGAATACTGATAACTGCAGAGCTTTTATCTTTTTTCCAAGAGCAGTTCTTCATAGTGTATAGTAATTTTGAACTGAAGAAGCTAACCGTAATGCTAACGAAACGATGGAGTATCTTATTCAAATGACAAATGCTTCGGTTAGCAGCAACTTATCTCTAATTAACCATAAGGTGAAATAATTAATTAAACATAATTGACAGTCAATTGTAAGAGGTCGCCGACCATCAAACGGGCCGCAATTGTTTAAACTACGGCAAATGCGTTCGGCGTAGCCGATGCGACGACGACTTGTGTCACTTCTCGTCGAACTCGCCTCGAGACCAGTCGCGTCGACGGAGTTTCGACTTTTATGTATTCTTTACGTTTTATGTGTTTATATGTCGTGTGCCAAATATTTTAGTCAAAATAATAATATACGTTAACCCTTTGCACTCGAGAGGTGACTCTCAGTCACCATTAGGTTTCACGCAGCAAATCTATCAGCAATAATGTTTCTTTAGGTTTAATTTCTTTGGAACTCGAAATGTCAATAAAAAAAAAAAAAAAACGTATCGAATTGAGTAACCTCCTCCTTCTCGAAGTCGGTTGAATGATTGTCGGTGCGGTAAAGGTGACCTGATTCTCAAATCTCTTAGCATTCGTGGCAATAGAATCTCGAAACATCTCGAGTTGCTGGTAGATACCACAAAAAAAAGGCCTCGAGTGCAAAGGATTAATTATGTGCAATTAGTTTGAGTCCTATGTCGCGCCTGCCTCCTTTCCCTGACACCTTACACAATTGCCAGTGTATTTCAACCACTAATTAACCACGAGGTCTTTTCGTGTTTAACTTCAGAGCCCTCGGTCGCACAGGGGATGGTTACATGTGGACGAGGGAGGCTTGCACCAGCGCGAAAAGTTCCGGGCTTCTGGAGAGGAAACAGGCGAGGGCATGCAGAGCGACTCCGGACGTGATGCCCAGTCTGGTCCAAGCAGCGATGGATACGTCGACAGTATGCCAACAAGCATTTCGACACCGTAGGTGGAATTGCAGCAGCATCGAGCGTGCGCCAGATTACACGCCTGAATTACTTACGGGTATGCATGTATTGTTACGATGACGAATGAAATCGAAAGGGTTCAAGAAAGCGTCGATAACCTAATTGTAACGCTTTTCATTCGGAGCCATCTCGTTAAAAAATATACAGCGGGTGTAGAATGTATTCGTACACCGATCAATTTTTCAAAAAGTTTTGTGTGAAATTTTAGTTCCTTAACTTCTTTTTTTTATAATCAGTGATTTTCTACATATTCTCGGAAATCTAGAATAGATATAGTCCAAACAACAATTATTAGTTTACATAGTTTGCGAAATTAACAAGAGAATACGAAAAATCGGTAGAAATATAGAAACAAGTATTCGTACTGTTCTTATTGGCGCACTGTTTACAGTTGCGTTTGTAACATAAACACATCAGTTTATTGCTTCGTATAAATTGGAAAGCATGAAATTTCCAGTAAATAGGGAAATGGAAGAATATCCCATCCCGAACAACGTCAACATTTAGTTAATTTAAATTTCGTTACTTTATATAAATAACTAATTTTTTTGTGCTGTGTCTATTCCAGAGATTTCCAAGAGTATGTAGAATATCATTCATAATAAAGAATAAGTTAATAAATTACAATTTCACGTAGTTTTTTTTGGAAAATGATCGGTGCACGAACACTTTCTACACCGACTGTATAAACAGGAATTGCATCATATTAAACAGTGTAACTTTCGAACTGTGTGATTTATTGTTATGATAATTGATTCGCGTGAAACTTTGAGAATTTTCATTGAAACGGAATGATTACGTGTAGAAATTTCCAATGTTTCCAATCCGCAAATTTTAATTATCGGTGGAGACATTCTTTCAATTGAAGAATTTCTTTTTCGTAAACATGATTGTTATCGAACATTTTTTGGGTTGTTTTCATACGACACACTTTGCGATTTAAACTAACTGAATATTCCAATCGGTCTAGCACCCATTTGAACATTCTTTGCATTCCACATTCGGTATTTTTTTAATGCTTTGTCGTATAGCGATACGTGTATAATGAGTATTTATGGAAAGGTAGGTGTGGCATAGCCTACACAACTACTAAAGAAACAACCAAATGATCAATGACCTGCCCACTGTTCACGCTTGCAATCAATTTTATACATATATATAATACTAGCTGCATCCTGCGGTTTCATCCGCGTGGAATACCAAAGTTGCAACCCTTTTTTATCCCCTTAGGGGTTGAATTTCGAAATATCCTTTTTTTATTCCTTGCATACATCGTAAAGGAAACTTCTGTGAAAAATTTCAGCTTTCTAGGTTCAAGGGTTTAGTTTGGAGGTTGATACAAACTTTGCAGCTCCTTTTTACCCCATCAGCGGTTGAACTTTTTAAAATGCCGAAATATGTGTTTGATTAATTGTATTAAAGAGCATTGAGACCAAGTTTTAAGCAAATTCGAACAAAAATAAAATATTCCTCATGCAAACGTTGCGACCCTTTTTATGCCCTTAGGGGTTGAATTTCGAAATAACCTTTCTTATTCTTTGTATTATCCTTCTTATTCAGCTTTCTGAGTTCAAGGGTTTAGCCTGGACGTTGATTGTAATCAGTCAGAGCATCATTCTTATATATATAGATTAAAATACCAACGATGTAAAATGTATTGAAATATACTGAAATATCAGTGATATAAAATATATTGAGATATATTAAAATATCAATAATATAAAATATTGATGTATACAGAATATCAATGATATGAAATATATTGAAATATATTAAAATATCAGTAATATAAAATATTGAAGTATACAGAAATATCAATGATATGAAATATATTGAAATATATTAAAATATCAGTAATATAAAATATTGAAGTATACAGAAATATCAATGATATGAAATATATTGAAATACATATATTAGAATATCAGTAATATAAAATATTGAAGTATATAGAAATATGTATGATATGAAATATATTGAAATATATTAAAATATAAATAATATCAAATATTGAAGTATACAGAAATATCAATGATATGGCCAAAATATCATATATATATATATAAATAAATTAATATAAATATTATAATTATAATTATAATAAATATAAATATATTGAAACACATATATTAGAATATCAATAATAAAAAATGTTGAGGTATACTGAAATATCAGAGAGATGAAATGTATTGAAATAACAGTGATGTGAATTTTTGAAAAGATGCCCATTTTATATAGATATATAGATGATAAATTATACGATAAATTAAGTTAGGTTAGAAAATTTAACGTTTATCTTTCGCCACCTCAAAAAAGGGTACATTTAATTTCGGGAAGTGAAAAGTAAGAGTGCACTTAACTGTTTTTTAAACTATGATCCTCAGAAATTCGTGTAAAAAATGAAAACGCGTGAAAAGAGATAAGTTTCTTGTAGTAAAATCTAAAATACATTCCATGTTATAAAAAAACCGTGTAAGATGAAATGAGAAACTATACTTAGATTAAAAATCGTGTAAAAAAAGTATTGAATACTCTAAACGCTCTGATATCCATATAAACGATATGTGTATGTAATTTGATTTGGCGATTAAACTTAAAGAACATACATAATCCATAGGTAAAAATTAATAAAGCAAGCAAAATAAAATTTCTTAATCCAAAATTAAATGTAAAAAAAATTAACAATAGAAATAAAATTTGATTTCATGATCATTCGTCGCTACTCGATAATAAGCGCAAATAGTTTGTATCGAGCTGGACCAAAGTTGCTATCATCAGTTTGTTTCGTACGTTACGTAATTTTAAGATAATGACTTTGAAATTGCGTTCGATAAATAAATAGAAATATATCTTTCAAGAAAGAAACATTTATTTGAATCGTGTTGCTTAAAATTCGTGTGATAAAAAAGTTGGCCGTATAGATATTGTTTCATCACTTCAAAAAGAGTACATGCAGTCATAAGAGAGTAAAGTTGGTAAGCATAGTGGTCGGAGATGGGTGCACAAGTGATTTCAGCAAGCTCCAGACATTTTCAATGGCATTCAAGTCGAGTAATTGCCTGGCCACGGGAGAACGGGGATGTTCTTCGATGAAAGGAACTCTGTGACGGATTTGACTCTGTAACATGATGCTCCGTCCTCCATTCATGTATATTTGGAGAATAATACTTTTAATAATGAGTTATGACGTGGTGTCGTATCTGGGAAAGTGAAGATCTTCCGTGTGGTCGTACTTTGTTGGTCAGGAATTCAATTATTTGCATAAATTCATTAATTAGGCATAGAGAAATGAATTATTCTGTACCTCTATACTCAACTATTTATAACTCTAGTTTAAACAAATACAGGGTGTCTCACCCGATTTTGACATCTTGTTTTTCTCGCTATTGTTACTCGTAACAAAAAAAGGTTTCAGCGGAGGCTTGAATGGTATCGAGTGGAGCATATTCCGATGTCATTAATTTTTTCGTGAGTGGACGCGTAAAGGTCATATAAAGGTCAACTTTGTCGTTTTAAATGGAATCAGGTATTTTTTAATACATCGATCGATTCAGCTGGACAATCGTTATAAAAAAGTACCAATTATGTAATGTCGGAAAATTAATAGTTCAGGAGATATTTCAATGTAAATTATTTAAATTCTTAAGGCATCATTACTGCCGCACCAGGACGTCCTGTAAATAAACGCTAACGTCTTAGTACAACGGTAATGGTGTTTTAGAATTATTTAAATGAATTATTTAAATTAATAAACAAGATGTCAAAATCGGATTAGACACCCTGTATATTTACTCGTCGTTTTGGTACGTTACAGTAGCAACCTTCTAAATTCTCAACCTGATCTCCATTGTAACGAGTGTATATGTATATCTAGAGCTGGAGAGTATTCATATAAATTACCTAGAAATTATTTCACACTTTTTATTGCAGTTGGAACGTTTTTCGAAGTCGGTTATATTTTTATTCACAAAAATTCATTTATCCTACACGAATTCTTCGATGAATTTCACGCTAAATAGGAAGACCTGGAAGAAGCACCTCAATTAGTAGCCATTATCAGAGCGGTGCTTCCTCCCTTTCTCCGTCCTCATTTTACCTCCAGATTAATCGTTCGCATTTAATAACTATATTGTAAATAAAAGTGTTCCTAGCGAGGAGATCCTTCGTTAATGAGAGACCGAGGAGAGCCCGACGTGATTTTCATTGACGATGAAAAACAGAGCCGCCCCGATATCCGAAACCTGGAAGAACCTCCCTTTTCGTACGCGGTACGCCAGTATGCTAATCAGCTTTCCTTCAATTATTTCAAATCAGTCAGCGACGAGGGGAGACCGTGAACGCGGTCTCTAAAGAAGCCGTGAACTGTGCTATTACCGATTTAATTCGGGTGCGTCGAAGAGATGCGCCTTCTTGTCTCGTTAATTGCCGACGTCGGAAATTACCAGAAAGTTCCAGCATCATTTGGATTTCAACATCGAACCTAATTGGCGAGAGATTTAATAGTTTCGCCGAAGCTTCTTACGTCCGTTTCATCTCCGTAACTTTCGAACGAACTTTATCACGTATTTGCCTTAATATAACTATTCGGGAGTCGAGAAACATTTGAAAAAAAAAAAGCTTCTAAGCAAGTTTAATTTAGCTTGATCTGTGGTGGCTGTGCTTGTGGAGGAGAGCGAGAGAGAGGAGAAAAGGAAGGGAGTGTTTTGTCCTAGGCCTGATAGTGGACTCGTCAGTATAGTTATCTAGCAGGCTTGTGCCTTAGACGCCGGGATGTTTAGTATTTTTTAGAGTTTTAGAGTTTTTGTTTTTGTGTATTTATAGTGCTTACTGAGAGCTACTTATTACTATTCGCCCCTATGTATTGCACTTTTCTGATACTTTTTCTTACAAAGATCTCTTTTTGCCTTAATGCCTTATTTTTTCCATTACATATCTGATGCTCTAAGGCTTTTCTATACCTTATATTTGTTAACCGGCCCTAATCGAAACATGAAAAATCGAATTCTCAATAATTTCTTTATATAGATATTCCACAACAATGCGAATATCGCACTGTATACCAAAATTCATAGTATAGCATTGAATTTTATTTTCAATACGAAACAAGTAAAAGAAGTACTATTTATAATTTCCTACAAAAAGTAACGGGTTATAATAGTTACATGAAACTGTAGAAGGAACATTCATATCTGTAATTTAAGAAGACTACAAATGAAATAATTCAAGATTAAATAAAAATTCTAGATGTAAATAATTTAGAAAGCAACGAAACCAATGCGTCATTCTAAATGAAAACAATATTATAAAAAGTTCAAGCTCCCTTTTGTGCTCAATTTAAAAGGAAATCAGGTCTTACGTTCTCTGATGAATTACAATATAAAAAAGTGATGAATTATAATACCTACATGAAAATGTTCTAGGAATGCTCGTATTTGTAATCTAAGAAGACTACAAATACAATAATTAAAGGTTAAGTAACAATTCTAGATATCAATAATTTAGAAGGCAATAAAAGCAATATTGCTGCATTATTCTAAAAGAAAATTACAAAAAAAAAAATGATGAATTATAATGCATGAAAAAATTGGAAATATTCAAAGAAAATACGTATTTATAGTTTAAGAGGATTACAAATAAAATAGTTCAAGATTAAATACAAATTCCATGTATACAGGGTGTCCCAAAAGTCGGGAAGAAGCCGGAAATGGGTGGTAGCTGAGACGATTCTGAACAACAATTTCCTTTGCAAAAATGTCGGATGGGGCTTCGTTAAGAAGATATTAAGCGAAAACCCCGACCAATCAGAGCGCGCGTAGACTGTTCGAGCGGCCGCGGTAGCGAAGGCTACGCGCTGACGGCCGCGCTTGTACGCGAACAAGTGACTCGACGTGCATCAAAGGACATTGACGCTGCCGCCTAACGCGTAGCCTTCGCTACCGCGGCCGCTCCAACAGTCTACGCACGCTCTGATTGGTCGGGGTTTTCGCTTAATATCTCCTTAACGAAGCCCCATCCGACATTTTTGCAAAGGAAATTGTTGTTGAGAATCGTCTCAGCTACCACCCATTTCCGGCTCCTCCCCGACTTTTGGGACACCCTGTATATAATGAAAAGAACGAAAAAAATGAATAGAAGCTGATGAAACCAATATCCCTGCATAATTCCCAAAGAAGCCCGTATTATAAACAAATGCAAGCTTTCAGTGAGGACAGGAGGTGCAACCATAAACCTATGCGCAACTAACTGTTGCGTGATTCTCTTGGATTGATCTGCTCTAATTAGCCTATTCGAAGTAACTAGACAAATCGAAGCAGAGAATCCAAGATAATCGCTCAAAAGTCGTCTCTGCCGAATGCACTCGTAATAATAATAAATACATCTTTCGTTAAACAGGAACAAGGGAACAGGCATTTGTGTATGCGATGTCAGCTGCTGCAGCTGTCTGGAGGTTGGCAAGGGGATGCGCGTTGGGGAGTCTCGCAGCCTGTTCTTGTGCAACACCACCGCGAAAAGAGCCACCATCGCCATCCGCGTTAATTTCGCCGTCATCCTTCACCGCACCGTCCGTTTCTTTCAATACACTGTCGCCCAGGAATTCGTTCAAATGGGGTGGCTGCGGCGACGATGTTCGATCAGCGTCCCGGATGGCTAAAAGGTTTCTTCAAGGCGCGACACCCCCTGGCACCGGTGCAACTGCCAAGTTCATGCACGCTGTCAATATGCACAATAATCGGGCGGGTCGAAGGGTAATTAACGCACTTGAATTGGTATAAAATAGCGTAAGGGAAAGAACAAAGATTATCACGTTCCGTGCATTTATGATGCATGTTAACAGTGACCTTTGATTGACATGTACATAAATGGGTAAGACTGTAGTTTAACACCTCCCCTCAACTTATTTTTGCACCTATCGTACGTCATTTTACTCGTTTTGACGTACTGAATACGATTGTGATTGTCGTTTTTGGTGGAAATTATGAATTTTCAAGATATTTGCAAAAAACTGTCTTACTAATACATATACAATTTTACTAAAGCGTTGGCGGTCGTCTTAGGGCACACAGTGTGATATTTCAGCGATATACCGGGACAAACGGTAATTTTCGAAATGTTCTGAATGTGTTATTCCAAAAAATAAGGTGTAATTAATTATTGATACGGTCTGAACCTCGAGTACATAGTGTTTCATCCTATGGACGCGTATCGTTTGCTTGACTTTAATTCACAACTGCCTTGTATCAGTATCCTCTAATAATATCTGGGTGGATATATTAAATTTCTATGTTTTCCAAGATATTTTTACACCTTTTGTTTTTCTCAAAATACATTTTATTGGTCTTCTGAACACTTGTGACAGTTAACGTGTTATTTAACGACTGTTCTCGAGATATAATTAGACTTTTAACATATTATAGGAAGCAGCCAGAACTTGGACAAGCATGGACAACTAATAATTTTTTAATGGCAAATCAGTGCACGAACTGCATCTCGTTTCGACTATCCAAATTCAAATCGTTCTCCACAGAAGAGTAATTGGAATTTTTGCATCTAATTAGCTTCAAATTAAAGACAAATTATTTGTGTTTTAAGTCCGGTAGGTTAGAACTTTCGAAATCTAAAGATTTTTAATTACAATTGAGGAAACCCAAGTCATGCAAAAATCGGAATCTTAAAAAAAGTACACGTGATATCGCTTAGCCGAAAAATATTGGAGAATCTTCTAAAAATTGTTTACTGATATTATGTTTAGAATATGCCTTCATTACAAAAATAAAAAGATACAGTTTCGAATTAATTTATTTTCTGAGATGATCGCGTTTATAGTCCGAACAAACGAAGTTCAACAATTGTGTAATTGGAACCAAAATTTAAAAATTTGGAAACATTTTCGGAATATATTACTAAAGAATCGAATATCAACACTTATAATACACACCTTTGTGTTATTAGGAACGACATACAAGTTTTCTAGTTCTTAGATTATACGGATTTAAGGATTCCATTTCGCATGGAATGTAACTACATTACGAATAGAATAATTCTATATGATGCAAGGAAACAAAATTTCAGAAAATACGTATTTCGTAGTTTGATCTGTAGTTTAAATACACAAATTGTCGTGAAAATTGACTAACATCTTGCAATAGAAATATATTAATGTTAATACGTAATTTATAAAAATGGATTTTTCAGAAAACTAATTGTATACTGGATACTTTTATTCTTTTACGGACCACTAGTACCAGCCACGACTTCTTGATGTTGTTCTTGTTAATCTAAATCTAATCTCACTTTACACTTTACAATTTACACTTTACATATTCACACTTTACAATTTACACTTTACATATTCACACTTTACACTTTACACAACATTTGCGCTCACTTTACACTCTGTTACAATCACTTTACACTCACTTTACACTTTACGCTTGATACACTTTACACTTTATACTTTTTATATCTAAAGATCTTATTCCAAGTTCGCAGCCATTAGCTCGGTATTACTTCGCGACGAAGGATTGTTCGTCACGAATAATACCGATTACCAGGTCTCACCACGTGGAGGTTGCTGCGACTGGGGAGACCCGGAGATAGAAGGAATCAAACTTCCTTCGATCTCCCCCTACATAGAGTATACATACATAGATGCATACTCTACGTAGAGTCGACGAGCTTAATACTAAGTACGAAACCGTGGAAATTAAAGAAAACTAACTCCCTTTGATTTCCAAAGTTTAAGTCTGACTCTGCCAAATAATTATTTGAACTAAATGGAAGATAAATGGAAATCGCGACACGACGCAACCATGAAACTGGACTTACTGAGTCAGTCCCGTTTCCTCTTGTTGGATCTGACTCGAGAGGAAGACGATCGACGCCTCCGAACCAGTCCTCCACATCCTGCACCCCGTTGGGAGCCACTATAGGACCCGACTTGCACCCGTCTCACTGCGCTTTGGACTTACTGCACTGCGCCGGGAGCCTTGGACTACACTAAACGTGATGCAGGAAGTAGAGAACCGATCCGGAGGAGCCGATTGTCTTCCCTCGAATACAGATCCACCAGGAGGACGGCAACTGACCTTTCTGTCCAGTTACACAGTTGGTCACTTCACTTGTGACATGAAGTAATAGTGACCGAAGTGGAGAACGAAGTTGCGAGTCCAAGATGGACCTACGAACAAACAAATGAATTGAACAAATGATTAATAATTATTTGATAGAGGATAGACACTCGTACACGCATGCCTTAAAATTAACTTAGGTACATGCCTTAAAACTAACCAAACTAAACTAAGGTACCCACAAGCAATACCAAGCTACGATAACTAAGGGACTCTACACTACGCAAAAGTAGGAGGGACGCGAGACGCGGACGAGCGATCGCGAGATCCATACCGACCGAAGGATCGTCGAAGAATGAGACCGCGCCGTTCGTATACCTGTGTCGAGGGTCGCGGCTCGTTCGTGCCTCTCGAAGTAGAGAAGGGGAAGGACGAACAACAACCGCGTAAGGCAACGGTCGCTTCGTAAGCTCGTTGAATTTATCGAGAAAATAATTTATAAAACATTAATATCACAGCAAAATTATACTCCCCACCATTGTTTAAGTAATAAGTATTGTTAATAATTAATGTAACTACTGTCAGCGATTAATATTTAGTTGGTCCAATCAATAGATATTGAAATATTGACAAATTTCTCACGATTAATGTCTCGAATGAATACTTGTTCTGAACCATCATTGTTATTAATGTTTAATCAAACACTGAATGATGCTGTATATATCACAAATGTTCAATTATATCGGAGATATTAAGTTTCAGTTGTTCCAATCAACAGATATTAAAATATAGAAAAATATCTTATTCTCAACTTTTCGTGTTCGGAAATATTACTTTCTCGAAAAACATTGGCATAATAATCTAGAATTTTATAATGCATTGAATATGTACATCTCCGAATGAATTGAATATTTACAATGCATATAGTAACATTCAGTCTTCGATTAAATATTAATAAGAATCACGGTTCAGAGTAAGTATTCATCGAACACATTAATCGTGAGAAATTTTTAAATATCGTTATGTTTGTTAGCTAGAATAACTAAAAATTAATTTCTGATAATAGTTACTTTAATTATTAACAATATTTGTTCAAGCAATGACCGAGAATATGACTTTACTGTAATATTACACCGTGCAGGCAGCGGTAGATGCTTTTCCTAAAAATGTTCAAAATCATTACTAATACTAACCAATAAGTAACTACATAGTTCGTGATTTCAGTCACCGACCAATTATGTTTCTTTTGAGTAGCTTCGTGTGTAGACGATCTAATCTAAGTTTCCGAAATATTGGACCACATAATTTTTGTCCTGCTAGATCGCTGAAATATCACTCTGCGACGGCCGGATTTAAACATAGAACCTAATCTAACCTAATATATTGATAATATTCACTTCTAATTGAGTTTTAATAGACTACGCTTCCAAAATGCACCCTTAAAAGTAACATCTCTCACTCATGCAACTTACTTAGTGCATTAACAGTTTCGCTGTTAAAACTGTTTTTACCATCATTTGTTCTAAAACACTTAAAACATATTTAAATTTAATCAAAATCGGCGAGGAATGACCTACAGTGGGTGTAGAATGTATTCGCACACCGATCAATTTCCCAAAAAACTTTTGCGTGAAATTGTAGTTTCTTAACTTCTTTTTTTATAATCAATGATATTTTACACATCCTCGGAAGACTCTAAGATAGATGTAGTCCAAACAACATTCACTAGTTAATATAATTTGTGAAATTAACAACAAAAATGCAAGAAGTGGGTAAAAGTATAGAAGCAATAAATATTTGTACGATTCTTATAATTAGACTGTGGATCTTTATGCAAAATAAAATCTTCGCGAACGTGCCTAGAAAAATTGAATCCTAAATAGGAATTTACTTTATTCTGAAAATATAATACCATGAACGTTACTTTCAATCTTTCTTGCATTCTTCCATATTGTTTGCATTTTGTAATTTCTTGCACGTTCAAATTTCTTATTAATGCATAAAGATCCGCAGTTTATTTACGACGAACCATTTACAGTAGAGTTTGTAACGTAAACACATCAGTTTATTGCACCGTACGAATTAGAAAACATCAAATTTCCCGGAAAGTATACTTTTAAAAATGGCTCTAATAGAACAATGGAAAATTATCCCACTTCGTATAACTAATAATTTAGTTAATTTAACGCTTAGAAGAGTTACAATAATTATAAAATCAAAAGGAAATCCCACGAAGGAAGTATTATATACTTGTAAATTAATGTAAATTTATTTTTTTTTTAATCAAGTTTTAAAATTTTAACAATTTTGCGAATACTTATTGCTTCAATATCTCTATCGATTAATTGTTTTTTTTTTTTGTTACTTTCGTAACTTACATAAATAGCTATTTTTTTTTTACTCTATCTATTCTAGAGATTTCCGAGAATATGTAGAATGTCATTGTTTATAAAAAATAAGTTAATAAATTACAATTTTACATAGTTTTTTTTTGGAAATTGATCAGTGTACTTTCTACACCCACTGTATTTAAATTTAATCAAAATCGGTGAGGAATGACCTAATCTCAATAAATACCGATATTTCTTTGAGTCTCGGAGAGGATTGGCCACACTAGTTTACTTGAATAGTGAAATATTCGTCGAATAGCGAAAAGGTGTCGAACACGATTCATATGTAACATTATGCGTGCCGTTACTTCAAGGCAGTGGAGCAATCTTTGACCTTGGAATGCAAGTGCCACGGCGTGTCCGGTTCGTGCAGCGTGCGTACCTGTTGGAGAGGACTCGGTTCTTCGGGACCATCGGCCGCAGGAAATCGTTTGCTTCGAAGATACGCAACCGCAGCCGAAGTTCGACCAAGGTCAGGAGGAAGACTGCCGCCTTTGTATCATCATGATAACCTCTTGTACACTACCAAAAGCCCGGACTACTGTCTCCCGGATAAAATGAGGGGAAGTCTTGGAACCATTGGCAGGTAAGCTGAGTCCTTATTTCGGCTGAATTTTACTTCGAGGCGCTAAAAATTATTAACTTTCTTTTGTACCGTTTAGTAACTTTTGATGCTTAGATCACAAAAATGGAAGTTTTAATGTTACGAATCCAACGGTTCAGAAGTTATGACAAGTTAAAAGTGGGAATTTTACCGTATTTCACTGACACTTTCGACGCCATTGTTGCCTTCTACCAATACTCTGTCAATATCACAGTCTTTTTTTTTTAATTTATTTATTTAATGTCGCGTCAGCTTTTTAGCCATTAGCGTTTTGATTTTTGAATATATTTTAAAAGACCGAAAAATAAGGATTTTTTTATATTAGCCCGTTTTCATATTTAGGGGATGAAACGACTCCCTAAAGTTTCAGCTGCAATAGGTTATTATCATAAACAAATTATTTTTTATAAAATTTAGGGCCAGATTTTATATGGAGGTAGAAAACCATGAAACTTTTTCTTAAAAAGTTTTCTTCTATTTGTAGCCTACTGCAGTTGAAACTTTAGGGGGTCGTTTCATCCCCTAAATATAAAAACGGACCAATACAAAAAAAATACGTATATCTTATTTTTTCGGTCCTTTAAAACATATCCAAAAATCAAAACAATCAGAGACGAAGATCTAAATAGCTTTCCTTGTATTAAGCGACCCCATTTCGGATTGCGGCTTATAGTTTAAAAAGCCCTGAGTTCGACCAAATAATTTAATTTTCAATAATTTAATAATTTAATTTTAATTTTTAGTAAACATCCACATATGTTTAGATTCCCTACTAACATGACGTTCGTTTCATGTTACCATGCTCATTCTAATGTAACAAATTAATGTAATTTCACAAAAGAAAGATTTTTTATTCACAGAAACGACAAGCTTTGTATCCGTTATCAATTTGAAAAATTAAATTTATATTTTACTGTTATACAATGTGTTTAACTATTACTAATAAATAGTCTATAGAACAAATTGCAAAATAAATTGAAAATCAAGAAATTTTACCTACATATCTACATTAAATTAATAATAACATTAATAAAGACCATGAATATGTATGAATCAATACTTTTGTATAATAGTATCTCGCCTTGGCTCGAATGCAGTTGGATTGGATTTAACTATGATAATAGATTACCTCGTATCAATACTGTAATGAACTCCACCGTCTCTAAATGCTGAACTGATATTCCCAATCACAGTCACCTGCATATCCCAGTGTGCAGTTACATGAGCAAATTATGCGAATATCGTTCCTATTTATCTTTCAGCTCGTCGGATAACAATATTCACGTTCATAAATTTATAAAAATAAAACAATACAACTCGTACGTGAGAGCTTTAGATTGGTGCACGATAATTGGCATCTATAATATACAAGGTGTTTCAAAAGTTCGTGCCTATGTTGTGGGATCATGTGGAAAGGTTTAAATTAATTTTCGTAATAATATGTTTACATACAACAATGAGTTTTCTAAAAGAAGCTTCAGGAGTTTATTTTTGTAATAAAACACAATTTTTATAGAGCATAATAGATACGGATTGTTTAATACACATTGTAAATTATTTATTTGTTCAAATATCTTTTCGTACCCTCATATTCAATATTTTTTCGTGTATAATTTTTAAAGAAATATTGTTTGGCACTGAGTTTGGTTTCTTTGATACAATATGTTGCAAAAGTACATTCTTGCAAATCCATCAGTTGTAAGTGAGTAAATGAAAACTAAATAAATTATACAAACAATTTTGACGTGTTGTAAATACTTGTAATTTTTATAACAAACCTTTTAGAAAGAAATTTGTTTTAATAATAAATCAAAGAAGAAATTCCTATTATTTGTCAATATTCATATAGTGTTCTAATAAAACTAAAAAAACGAAAAAGTGGTATTAGAAGAAAGAAGAAAGAATAAAAAGTATCTCTGTAGCAATAATAAATACATATAGAAATTTTGTACCTGAAAACCAACTTCAAATTCGCGTTCCTCGTCCCAAAAAAACTTAGAAAACCATGCTTTTGTCAAAATCGAAAGTTGAAAATTTTCTAGTAAAATTTTCTTAGTAGAGCCTAAATAGGGTAACTTTTAAGAAATTTTAATTTTGACGAAAGCATGATTTTCTAAGTTTGAAGTCGGTTTTGAGGTACAAAATTCCTACGGTTGAAAACCCCTGAAAATACGATCGTAATCGCAGAAAAATTTGAGATTACAATTATAATCGTAGTTATAATTACGATTATGCCCAACACTGGTTTGAGACACAAGGGGAATATAATTCTACGCAGCTATTTACAATAAAAAATTGAAGTGACTTAGCGATTAAAACGTAACGAGATCCTTAGATGTTGAAAAAAAAACTAAATTTTGTTCATTTCTACTTGAATAAATGATATCCAATGCGAAAGAAAGTAATTGTTCTATTATCCGAAAATTTCACTATCTTTTGTCTCCCTATTAGTTCGGATACGGGAGTCTCTACTGTATTTCTAATTTCCTTATAACTCCTACAATTTTCTTCGCTACGCTTCGCAGGGGTGTATACTAGTTTTATATATTAAAACCTAAGGAACCGGTACGAGAACCGATATGAAAGCGTTATAGTACCGATACAGAGCCAACGTGACCACCGATATATCGATAACTTACAGCAGACACGTTGTACATCCAGTTTTTGTTAAATTTACGTTATTTAATGGTACAGACAACTCTTGGCTGTCTCATTATGCAGTGTAAATATCACACCTTTATCTACCGCGTGAATATGTTATAATGAATTTTTAGTGTTTATCTAATTCATTATCTTGTCCGCGCAGGTGTTGGATACTTATGCTAAAGTGTGATACCCTTAATACTTCTTAATTGATACGTGAACTCGATTTATGAGAAGAATGATACACCTTTATTTTTAAATGTTTTACCAGTAATGAGCAAAGGCAGCGACTCGTTGACATGGATTTTTGAAAATCGAATACATAGTACTTTTAGGGCAGTCATTTTAGACACCAAACATTGTGAAAAAAGTACTGTGAACTTGCTTTTTTGATATGTTGTTAGGGACCACCCAAATAGTATAAATCAGAGATGGGACAAATTTATAACACGTTATTCGCATATTTATTCATAAATAGCGCGTTGTTCATATTTTTAGTTATAATTAACTCTTCATTAAATAATGTTAATCACTTACTAACATTGTTTACTATCCCACACAGAATCGTTTTCACTCCAAACAAATGGGTAATTACACAAATTATGTAATTTATGCAAATAAAACAATCATTGTTGTTATTATTATAAAAAACATTATGGTTGTGTTAATACACACACATTTATGAATATGAATACCTCCATCTCTGATATAATTCTAGATTTGCAACCCTCAGGAACACGAGACAGCCGAAAAACCGCGAAATTTTCGTACTTTTTTCAGTTTTTCTGAGGGTCGCAAATCTACATAGATTTATACTATCTGGTTGATCCCTAACAACATATTAAAAAAGGAAGTTTACAGTATTTTTTACAATGTTTGGCAAAAAAATTGTCTAATATGACTGGCCTGTTTATCAGAATGGATATTATTGGATATGTCAGAACACTAATGCAAGTAGAAAAGTCAAGTGATAGACAGACATACTAATCAAGTCGCCCTCGATCGTAATTATACATACGACATTAGTAATAATATTAGTAATTATATTGAACGTTAATATCGCACCCGTAATTCTAAACAATATGCAACATTATTTATGAAATAAATTATAAAAATTTATTATAAAGAGTAATGGTCACCGATTTGAATAGATTCGTTAATATTCTATTCTCGTACATTTACTGATATTAAATGCATAAATATTTATTGTAATTGCTATGTGTACGATAGACTATGATTTTATAAGAATAACTCCTGAGATAGTCATCTGATGGTCAACATACTAGGTGTAGAAATTAATTCTGTGCCTTCATATTCGATTATTTATAAATGTAGTTTAAATTGAAATATTTAACCCTTTGCACTCGAGAGGTGACTCTCAGTCACCATTACACAGAAATACTGTCTGAGTAGCTTTAAACCTAGTTTTTTGTTGGACGCTATCACGCGAGAGGCTGCGAATAACAATATTTTATAATTCACAACTAAAAACTCACTTAATGGTTATTTTAAGACACATGGTGGAGAATATGATGAAATTGTTAATGCATATACTATCTACACGGAAATACTGTCTGAGTAGGTTTAGACCTGATGTTTTGTTGGACACTATCACGCGAAAGTGACAGAGAGAGAGAGTGAGAGAGAGACTTTTCATTTCAAAAGAAAATATTATGTAAAGAGTAAAAAGAAAACTTGTCAATGACTAATTTAAATATTTTGTAACGTGTTAGAAATCTTACAACATTTTACGAGCTGCGATTCGACGCGATTATAGCTTTTATTTCTATCTCGGAGCTAGTCAACTAATCGTTATCTGGTACTAATAAAATACTTCCATCGTGTACATCCGGTTGATTCTTCGCCTTTTTCCTCTCTGGCCAGCGTGTTGTATCAGCCACACACAACGAATTCCTTCGTTCCATCTTAGTTATCTTCGACATAGCTAGATACTGACTTATTTATGCGACTCTACCGGTAATTACTATGAGAGAAGACCTTCGAGATAGGACAGAACTCCATTTTACCCCGTGATCGAGGAACCTGTTCTCCCAACCAAATAAATCCTCTATTTTACGATATTTAAACGATCCCCTTGATCCAGTACCGCTATGAGCATTCAATAACTTCAAATCGGAGAATTACACTCTTATGGATCTACCTAATGCATCAGCCATAATTAGAAATTAGGTAATTAAATTTACAATTTCAATGTACGTACTCAATGCGTAAGTAATAATCAAGAGTCAATTAAATTTATAATTTCACTGTGCATATGGTATCTAATGCATTAGTCATAATAAAAAATTAATTAAATTTATAATTTCAATGTACGTACTCAATGCGTTAGTAATAATCAACAGTTAATTAAATTTATAATTTCAATGTACGTACTCAATGCGTAAGTAATAATCAAGAGTTAACTAAATTTATAATTTCACTGCACATATGATATCTAATGCCTTAGTCATAATCAGAAATTAATTAAAATTATAATTTTATTATACATGTCTGACACTAAACTAGTCATATTAAAAAATTAATTAAATTTGTAATTTCAAAATTAATGATTTTATTTATGAAAAGTCCCGTCACTCATTTCTGGGTGACACGACGACCAATGTATTAAATAAACCAATGTATTAAAGCTCATTTAAAGACAAACTCCCGTGAAATATACAATTCATCGAAAGTTAATTCTTAATGGAAAATGTCCCGATGATTCGAGTTGCATCGCAATCACTGTTGGCACAGGTAGAGACAAATAAAGAAAGAACGATGGTTCTTTCATTGGTGATTGCATTCGCTACGGTTTTTCCGACGTTAAAGCGAAAGGAACCTCTTCGTTGCCCTCAATTATTCACGCCTCGGTCTTCGTGAATTAAGATCACCCACGACATTCCACGAATGGTGACTGGTTCTACCGAGCAGAGAAAGTGTGTAGATGGACTCGAGCGTTGCTCATCCAGACTGTTTCTGGTCGAAGATGGACAAAATTCTTATCCAATAAGTTCGAGCAGTAAATAAAAAATGAACATTTCCTCGGTACTCGTTAAATAAGAATTAAAATTTGAATTGTAAAATTAAATACCTTATATTGAAATGAAATACGTAAATGAAATACGTATTTTCCAACGAAATAAACATCATGAATAAATTACTATACGTTGGTTTGCACAAAACCCTAATGTACATACAATTAGTTAAATAAGATTTAGAAATTGTTTTGTGAAATAAAGTAACTCATAAAATATAAATAAAATACTTATTTTCCATTCAAATAAACGTTAAATAAATTGTCATATATTTTAACAAATTTCTTATTTAACTATAGTTATTTCCAATAACGAATAAAAGATAAGTAAGTGTATTTTCGTTACTTTAGAGGATAAAGAAAATACAACATCAAGAACAACCTCGCTAATTTACTTATATCAACTTTTCCGCAGACATAACTCAATTTTTCCATTATTTTAATTGACGAATATAAGAAATAACATTTTTTCTTATTTTTTAATATTCTTTTTTTTCGTGATGTTTATTTTCCCCTTGCTATATTATTTCACCTCCAGCAGATTGAGACGCCCTGATCCCGACCAAGTCTCAACCTTTTGGTCGTAAACATCTATTAAAAATTGTATGGTTTTCCTTTGTAATTAAATAAATAATATTCTTTAGAAAGGCGCAGAATTAATGCTCAACCCTAATTTTAATTTAGTCAGTCACACATGAA